AGATCCGAACAGAATCTAGCTGATCCTTTGACGAAAGGATTACCTAGAGAGAAAGTCCAAAATACCACAAAGGGTATGAGACTTATGCCTACCGAACCACGGATTACAAGTGATGGTAACCCGACCCGATAGACTGGAGATCCCAAGAAACGGGTTCAATGGGTAATAACAAGTCATGAGTAATATTGAGAAAAGTTCATGCATAGTGAAGCATGAATCCCAAAGCCTTGGAGGTTGAGTTAAACTCTTAATGAGATCTATACTCTATGTGGAGTGAAGTACTTTACTTTGGGGGTACTTCTGATAGACTCACCTATGTGAATGTGGGAGTGGGGCCGCTCTCTATGGAACTTTGGAGGCACAAAGTTGCTAGAGCGTTCACTAAACCGGGATAACGTGCATGGCCATAAACGCACGGCCTATGAGAGAATATCACTCAATGAAAAGATCCGGTGTGCTACATTGTCTGGGATAGGGTTCAAGACTACGAGTCACCCTTATGAAATCGGAAGTGTAACCACTACGCTAAGGTTCAAATCTTCGCGATACCTTAGCTTATGCCCGATCTTATGGAACTGTTAATGCTCAGAGATAGTTTCAAACTATTCAAGTGGGGGATTGTTGGGATGAATAGCTTTGAAAAGCTATAATGAAATTCCTAATTAATTATCCAGTATTTTCCCATAATACAAAATTAAGATGGATAATTAATAAAAGGAATATTATGGAGATAATTAGGAATAATTATCTTAATAGATTATATTTTAATTATGGGAGTAATTATCTCCCTAATTAAAATATGACTTATTCCCAAAGAAAGAGGGAATATTCTGGGTTTTCTGCTCCTATAAATAGGAGACGTCCCACACCCTCTAAACACACCTCAAGGAGCAGAATCACGAGAGAGAGTGAATTCATAGAGCTCCGGTTTTTCGCACAAAACCGATGAGCAACAAATCAGAATGGCTGTTTTATCCTGGAGGCGACCGGCTGATAGTCTGCTGTGCGCAATACGAGGCAGTGCCGCGAACGTCTTAAAGAGAGCGACCTAGTCCGCGACTCAGCCAGATCGGTAACCCTAATTTTTCTGTTCGGTTTTTAACACAACCTATTGTCTGGAGCAATTCCAATGAGAGAAGCCCAAGATTGACCGTCATCGACAACAATACTATCTACAACAGCCGCCATCGTGAAGAAAACTTCGCGATAAAGAACACGTTTAGAGAAAAGGAAAAAAATGAGAGAGAGGGAATAGAGCATCAAAGATAAATGTTAAATCAACATTTAACTTTCAAATTCAAGAAGCAAATCAAAATTTCTTTTTTATAATTAAAATCATCAAAAGGTTATTATATTGTTTTATGGCCAAAAATCGATCATGTCACTCATACCTATGATATTTCATCCAGTTTTGTAACTAATATCGGTTAGGGGTTGCATCGGTTTGTTTCTGTCAAAACCAAACCAAAAAGAAGCATACCGGATCCTCCAAATAGGCCAAAGATGCAACCGAATTCAAAAATATAATTGGATCGGTTTGTCCGAACTTAAATATATCCCGGTTCGGTTTGGGATCCTGAGCAACCCAAACTTCTAGAGGAATCTTCCTTCACCTGCTTCCCCACTTCCTCACTTCCCTTCAATCTTCCGTTCTCTTCTTTCACCCCTCCCTCTGCTGCTCTGCGCTCTCTCCCTCCCCAACAAAATCTCTCCCAAGCAAAAGTGTATCCCAAACAAAATTCAATTTTCAGAGAAATGAGAGAAAAAGGAGAGGTAGAGATCTTAAAGGTGCGGTTTTTAGAGGGAGTACGAAGGAAGAATGGTAGATCTATTCTGCGGAAGCGGCAGAGAATCAAAATTGCCAAAGCTAGAGGAATTCGACCTCTGATTACTCTGTTCGCGTACTCCGACCTCGAGTACGGCGTCACCACGATCCCGCTATTGGTGAGTCTACTAGGGAGAGGCGGGGCTGGGTGCGTACTGCGACGAGGAGGCAGGGGTGGGTGCGGGTGGCGGTGACAGTGGTGAGATTGATCGTCGGAGAGCCAAGATGCATGGGAATGCTGTGAGGGTGTGCTGCTGGTGGCGATTTTCCTTCATGTCTCCTTCTTCTCGCCACTGGATGCTGTTGGGAATGGATAGCGGAGGGGATAGAGGGTGGGCTTCGGGTGGGGAGGTGCTGGGCTTCAGGAGATGGATGTGCCGTAGAGAGTGGGCTTCGATAGTGGTTTGGGCTCGAAGAGGGAGAGTCGGTTCGGGTTAGTGCTGGTTTCAAAATGCGGGTTCGGATGGGAATACCTTTGATTCCAAAATATCAATATTTTGTTTCCGAATTCAAAGCCGAATTACAGTTAGTTTGAGTTTGGTTCGGTCTAGGCTCAGTTCGATTTGAGTTTAGAGAGCGAGATGTCCACCCCTAGACCCTAGTATAGGTGTCAATCGGGCGGGTTCGGGCTGGGTTCAATCGGGTTCGGGTACAAATGGGTTGCGGGTTAGTCGGTTTGCGGGTTCATCGGGTTCGGGTTAATCGGGTTCGGGTTCAAACGGGTTGCGGGTTAGTCGGTTTGCGGGTTCATCGGGTTCGGGTTCAATTGGATTGCGGGCAAATCGGGTTGCGGGTTCATCGGGTTTTGGGTCGGGCGGATCGGATTTCGGGTTGTTCGGGCCAGCGCATCAAGTAACTTAACTCATTACTCATTACCAACTTACACATTTTATTACACTATTTAAAATATTTTCTTAACTTTTTAACCAATTTATTTCTACCTCGTATATATATACTTTATTTTTTTGAAAAAAACTAGTTAAAATGTTAAATCAATTTGTATGACTTGCAAACTTGTTATGTAATTAATCATAATTGGTAAAGTATTATAGCTAATAGTAATGATGATATCAATATTTGCAACCAAAAGACACCATTAATTGTTTATTTGATATTTTAGTATTAATTCAGTAGTAATTGGATTAAAGTATCTCGTTTAGTATAACCATGCAAATCTGGTTTTTGGCTGTGGTATATGGCAAAAGCATAGTGATAAAAGGAGTTATTTCGAAATAACTCATTGCCCAAATAGCTTCCGTAAACTGTTGCCAAACAATTTATTTGTAAAATTGTTCAAATTATCCTAAAAATTGAACCATTAAAGATTAGCTGTCAAATTTAGTAAAATTATTGTGACTTCAATCATAACTTACTCAATAGCATATATACTATACACTTAGCCTTACCCTCAATCAACAATATTAAGTTAGTATATGTTGTTGATTGTATACCCTAAATCATCAATACATTATACACTAACCACATAACTTATACCCTATACCCTAACCATATGTCTTTGAGTTGTGATTTTGCTAGTATAGTTAATTTAAAAGTGAAATTTATACTTTGCTTTTCAAAACATAGATAAAAAGTGGTATTTGCTAATTGTTATACCCTAACCATATATCTTATACTTTACACCACATACCTTATATCCTAACCACGTACCATAAACATAAATTAAAAAGAGATCTCCTGCCGTTAAAGACTTCAAATGACTTCAAGTGAACATATGTTAATAAAATACTTGGAACCGTCAAAACCATCAATATCTTATACCCTAGCCATATACACTCTAAACCATATGTACCTTATACCCTATACCCTAACCATATACTTTATATCCTAAACAATGAACCGTCAAAGATTACTTATCAAGTTTAGTATATATTGTTGTAACTAATGCTTAATTTATTTATTAGCCCATAAACAATTACATACATATATAATTAGCCTTCAAAGCATATAAGAATAATTTTAACTAGTCATGCCCTCCATATAAAAGTTAAAGAGTCATATTTCAAAAGCTAAAATTATGAAAAACCAAAAAATTGAAAACACCAAATTTGTTTCCTTCTTTTTTTTCACAAAAATACTAAAATTTCACTTCTTCTTTCTACTTCCATACATTAGAAAACTCAATCTTCCCTCCTCTTTCTCTTCCATAAAATTGAAAGAATCAAATTACCCACGAACAAGGGATTGGTCTAGTGGTAATACCACTAGCCTTGAACCTGGAGGTCCCAGGTTTGAATCCCTTCAGTAGTACCTAATTACAAAAAATAACCTATATCACCCTTATCTAAAAAAAAAAAGAACCAAATTACCCTCTTCTTTCCTTCTACAAAAAGTTGAAAACTCAAAAGTTTCCCTTCTTATTTCTCTTTCATAATCAAAAGAATCAAACTTTCCCACTTCTTTCTCTTCCCACATATCAAAAACCACCAAAATTCTCACTTGTTTCTTTTCTAAAAAATTCAAAGAACCAAATTTTCTTCTTCTTTCTCTTCCCAAAAACTTGAATACACCAAAATTTCCCTCTTCATTTAAAGACATCAAATTACCAAATACATTACTTTACTTTATTTATATTTAATTGATAATTTTATTGAATAGTTAAATTAACCAAAATTTTAATTTATATATTATATTAATATTGTATCTCAAGTGACCTTTATGTTTCAATTTTTGTAATTTTCTTAAAATACGTAATATCAAGTGAGTTTCATATTTTTTAAATTTCCTATACGAAACGAAAAAATAATTTTACTTAAGTTTAGAATGAAAAACTTTATTTTGAAAAACTATGTATTGTGTATTTTTATAATTATTCAAGTGGATTAGATGAAATTCGGGTTGAGTCGATCGGGTTACGGGTTAGTCAGGTTCGGGTCAATCGGGTTCGGGTTAATCGGGTTGCGGGTCAGTCGGGTTGCGGGTCAATCGAGTTCGGGTTAATCGGGTTGCGGGTCAGTCGGGTTGCGGGTTAGTTGGGTTGCGGGTCGGGCGGGTTACGGGTTGTTGACTTTTAGTCAATTCGAGTTGCGGTCGGGTTGCGAGTAGAGTTGATTGGGCGAGTTAATCGGGTCGGACTATGTTTTGACACCTATAGACCCTAGTATCGGTTGAACCCCATTTATTGACTGGCATGCCACCCGCATGACTAATTGACAACCATTGATTTGGGGCTAATGACTTTCTTACAATCATCATCTGCTACTCTTATTCTCTTCTCTTCCGGACGACGGTTTTCTCGAAGCTACGTCTAAAGTCTGCGGCGGAGCGCTCAAACGCAGATCCGTTGTGTTCCTCGTCTCCCGGTAATGGCGACGCCGCTAGTTGTCGCCTCCGCGGCGGCACCAGCCCCAGGTCCGGAATCAGAGGAAGAGATTCCAGATTCCTTCAATTGTTGCATTTGCTTGTAAGTTCCACTAGTCTTTTGCCATTGGAGAACCGCATCCGTTTTCTTTAATTATTTTGAAGAATATTAATCTTGCCTGGTGTTTTGCCGTTCTTCTTCTCAGGGATCTTCTGTACAAGCCGGTTGTACTTGGTAAGTTCTGGTAGTTAAATATTTTTGTACTGTCTGTATTACAAGCCCTGTCTCTTTTTCTTTTTCTTTTTCTTTTTTCTTTTGGGTTGAACATTTGGTGCATTCCTTGGCTTGCAGCTTGTGGTCACATGGCCTGTTTCTGGTGTGTTCATCTTTCGATGAGCTTCCGCAGCGAGTCCCATTGTCCAATTTGTAGGAACTCTTACCATCACTTCCCTGCCATCTGTCTGACTCTCCATTTCTTGCTGATGAAGTTGTACCCCATTGCCTACATGAGAAGGCAAGGGCAGATTCTTGGTAGGTAATCTCTCTTGCTTCAATTCTTCAAAAGAAAGAACAAAAAGAAAAGGCGTTTGAACTTCATAAGGTTTTGATACCTAGCATCCTTTCTTCTGTTAGCAAAGATGATCAGTAGTTCCGATTAGTATGATTAATGAAGTTATGTCATTGATGCCGGTGTTTGTGTGTTCCAGAGGAAGAAAAGGAACGAAGATGCTTCTCCCCTCAGTTGGATAGCAATTTGGCCATACTAATGAATGCTGATAAATGCTGTGACGGAACAAAGGGTCTTACATATCGCTCAACCTCTATTGGCGATTCTAGTGCTGGCTCGAATGAGGAGTCACTTACAAGTAGTACCACACAACTGGGACCCTCTTCCGTGACTGTTGTTACTTCTCTTGGAGAGAGGAATCCTGATGAGAGTTGCGGAGGAAACCATAGTGAAGCAATCGAAGAACATGGTTTGCACCAGAATAAGCCTATGGGGAACGGGAAGCCCATTTCAACTGAGGACGTACAATGTTTGGCTTGCAAACAGCTGCTCGTCCTTCCAGTGGTTCTTAATTGTGGTCATGGTAGTGACCTCCACTTAATTTACTTTTCAATCCATCAGTATGCAATGGTTTGTGAATTATGATCCGCGGTTTGACTCCTCTTAAAATTGTTCCAGCATTCTGTGGAAGTTGCATCATCCAACTAGTAGATGAGGCAGTCAAATGTCAGGAATGTGGAAGTCTGCAACCTAGAGGCGCTTTGAAAGTTTGTCTAGAGTTTGATAATTTCATAGCAGAACAATTTCCCGAGGAGTACCAATCCAGAAGAGAAGCTGCTCAACATGCTCATGCCAAGCTTCAGAATGCAACCGCTGGTGAGTTGTAGGTATTGGCATATAATTTTCCCCCAAAGGCCCTAGCAAAGTAAATTAGATGACCAATCTGGGAGGAGGACTTAATGTTGAGCTTAATCCAACTCATGTTTCAGGTTCCATGGAAAGCAGTAAAAAGGACTTGCCTCCATTACAAGAGCGTTTACTTTCTTGGGCTGACCCCCAAATGAAGGTTCACAGAGGAATTGGCTGTGATGCTTGTGGGGTAATTTCTCGTACTTGGTTTCCTCCAATCTGTATCATCCTTGGCATTTATTCTCTTCTGTGATTACATGTTCTTGATGATGCAAAACACTTGACAAAATTGATGGCATAAATGTCGGGTGTTATGAACTGCTTTGCATGGCCGTATCAGAAAAAAAAAAAAGAGTTATCATACAAATATTAACTAGCCAAGTAATGTTTGTAGTCTCAAAGGACCGTGTCACATTCAAAATCCATGTCAGTGTTTTTCTTGTTTCCCTTTGCTGTCTAGTAAGCAACACCATGTTCTATTTGACAGATGTGTCCAATTATCGGGGAGAGACACAGGTGCGTCGACTGCGTGGAGGCTATAGGGTTTGACCTGTGCGGAGAGTGCTACAACTCTAGGTCCAAGCTTCCGGGGCGGTTTAATCAGCAACACACTCCAGAACACAGGTTTGAGCTTGTGGGCCCGCTCCCCAGGAGCATTATGATGATGATGGAGGCACATGTGTTCCGACAGTTGGGTGGTGTAGCAACTAATGCCACCAATGATTTTGATTGGGAGAGTGAATCTGGCAGTGTCCCTCTTGCATCTCTTTCCGATGATCCTCAGGAAAGCACTGGCATAAGCAGTTTGGCGGAGGATCCTCAGGAGAGCACACCCAGTAGCAGTTTGCCAGACGATCCTCAGGAGAGCACACACAGAAGCAGTTTGCCAGACGATCCTTGGTAGAGCAGTGATAGAAGCGGTTTGGCAGACGAGGAGGATCTTGGTGAAAATGAGAGCCAGTACACTGGTTTAGTTGTCCGTCTTCACTTTTCGTGAATCAATGTAGATTCTGTCAAGAAGGGTTGTACTGCCTAACAGAAGTTGACGAACGAACGTGTGGAAGAGGGAAAACATTGGCTTTCAGTCTCTGATTTAGTGTGATGTGGGCTAATGCAGAGGAGCATAGTCATGGAGCATGGAAGGGGAGTTGGCCCCGTCACTTGAGAGAATCTTATTTTCCTTTTCGGTTATATGGACTATATATACAGGAGCACTTGGAGTGAGTTGGAATTGCTAGAAAAATTGTAATTCGAAAACGAGTGGGAGATGTACGAGCTAGTATTGTATGGTATTGTATTGTATCTATCTACCAGACAAACTTTAGTAATATACAGCAATGATTGTATGGTATGGCGTTGTGTTTGTGAAACCAAGCTGAATTTAATCAGGATTCAGGAATCATTTGGCAGTTGAGTTCTTTTTCTTTCATTCTTCCGGGCACCACTGTATTTGCCAAGGCTTGATAGGTACTCTACTTTAGTACAGGCTCGATCGGTACTCTACCTTGCTGGAATCGAGTCCGAGTAAGCTTCGAGACACCAAATAACATCATTTGTACCATAAACATGTTAGAATTGCAACGGGGATTTTAGTTCAGCGTTTCATCTTCATAGAACTTAAAGATAATCCATTTGGGTAGTGCTTTAGAAGGCAAAATGATTCTATATGGTCAAAAACTTCTGCATCTACCATTTTTTTTTTCTTTTATGAATGGTGAGTTTTATTCATCATACAATCGGTCAATACAACTGTCAGCTATGTCCACAGCTTTGTACAAAACCCTTACCCTATATCTACCTGCTAATCAAAAGTACAAAAAACATCTGAACTTTACAACAGCACCATAAAAGCAAAACTGTGATCAGGACCGAATTCACACCATTTTATACCAAAGCTGTTTTCCCTTAGCAGCTACTGCAAAAACTGTGTCCTCTGCAATCTTGAACTCCACCTCCTGCGCCATCTTATGAGTCAAAGCTGCGGGAGACAAGAATTTGTTGCCATATAGTCTTCTGCATCTCTCCCGCCATACTTCACTTACCAGCAAGCACCAAATGGTACGCCCCGTCATGCATTTCCCTAACCTGCAAACAGCTGCTAAGACCACACCATGAAATGTCCACCCGAGAGGGAACTGCCATGGGTCAAAGACAATGCTCCAAACCTTCCTGACATAAGAGCAGGAGAAGAAGAGGTGATCTCGAGGCTCGAGATCAAAATGACAGAGAGGGCAGGTGTCAGGGATGTCTGGGTTCCATCTCTTAATTTTATCCAAAGTCATGATTCTATTTTGTATAACCAGCCACGATAGTAAGGAGTTCTTGGGGATCAGAGGCCCCTTCCATACCAACGAGGCCCAAGGAACAGCATCCCGCAGAGGTGTGAGGCTATTCCAGACAGTTTTTATGCTGAACCGAGTCATGACAGCACCATTCCACTCTATTCCAGCTTCAGTCCTGACCAGGGATGAACTAAGAAGGGGCCTGGTCTTAAGTATTTTATTCCAGACCCAGGACCCTTTAATCTGAGTTTCCCAAATGCTAATGTTACGTAGCCTATACTCCTTCAACCATGTTATCCACAAAGTTTCCTGATTTGCCAGAACTTCCCAAAATATGTCTAGCTAGACAAGCTTGGTTCCAAGACCACAAGTCTCTGAAACCCAGTCCACCTTCTTCCTTTGGTAAAGCAACGTGCTTCCAGGCCACCTTTGCTTTCCTGTTCTGCTCCAAATTGCCCCATAAAAACTTTGAACATAAAGCTTCCACTTCTCTGATTACCTTATTGGGGAGCTGAATGATATTCATCCAGTACTGGGATATACTAGCTAGGACAGCTACAATTAACTGAAGCTTGCCAGCATATGTCAAGAGTTTCGGTTGCCAACCACTTATTCGGCTAGTTATCTTATCCACCAAGGCTCTGCAGTCTGCTGCTTTCAGTTTCCCTGCAGAAAGTGGAATCCCCAGATACCTGACAGGGAGGGCACCTTCCTTAAAACTAGAACAATTAACCAGTGAAGCCTTTTCCTCTTCAGTCACACCCGCACATAAAATTTCACTCTTGGAAGGGTTGCATCTAAGACCTGAAACCAGGTAGAACTTGTCTAGGATAGCAGCAACAGTTCCCACTGCCTCTCCTGACCCCTTAGTGAAGATCAGAAGGTCGTCAGCAAAGCAGAGATGGGTAAGCCCTATCCTATGGCACTGAGGGTGGAAAGATAAGACTTTCCTGGTTGCTGCCCTATTAAGCATACAGGAAAGAACTTCCATACTTATGGTGAATAAATATGGAGATAAAGGGCAGCCCTGCCTAAGACCTTTCTTGGCAGGGAAATTCCCAGTAAGACCTCCATTCAGACACATCGAGAACTTGGTTGTTTCTAGACAGCATTGGATCCATTTGACAAACTGTTCAGGTATCCCCATGGCCCTCAGGACAATAACCAAAAAACACCAATCTACACTATCAAAAGCCTTAATGATATCTATCTTTAAGGCACAACGAGATGAGACATTCCTCCTATTATACCATTTTACTAGTTCATGTGCTAGGATTATGTTATCAGAGATCAGTCTTCCTTTAATGAAAGCTGTCTGGTTAGGGCTAATGAGCTGTGGAAGAACTTCTTTCAACCGATTGGCAAGTATTTTCGAGATACATTTATAGATGAAGGAGATAGGTCTGAACAACTTCATTGAACTGGCATTTGGGACTTTAGGGATGAGGGCGAGGATAGTAGAGTTTACCTCTCTTCTAAGAGTTCCAGTAGCAAAGAAGTCCATTATTGCTTCAACAGTCAGAGGGCCAACCAAGCTCCAATTATCCTGGAAGAATTCTGCAGAGAACCCATCAGGGCCAGGGGCTTTGCCCCTCTTCATTTTCTTGATTACTGATGTAATTTCATCTACTGAGACTGGTACACGGAGGGAAGAGTCCTGGGGGAGGTGATGGTAAAGGAGTTTCTGGATTGTGTTCACGGTCACATGTTGAAGAGAGGAGTTAGCCGTTCCCAGGAGATTCTGGTAAAAATCCACTGCCTCCTTACCAATTTCATCTATCCCTTCCAAACATCTACCATCTTCTGTGATTAATTTGGAAATAGTGCTTCTGGAGTTCCTGGTTCTGACCATGCTGTGAAAATAACTAGTATTAAGATCCCCACAGTTAATTCTCAGCACTATTGATTTCTGTTTCAGAAACTGTTCTTTAGCCTTCTTAAGATTTAGAAGCTGGACCATGCACCTCTGCTCAGCTTGAAAAGCTGAGGAGGCAGGGCGCTCCAACAACTCTTTTTGAGCCATCTCCAGTTCCTCCTGAGCTTTCTTCGCCCTTTCATGTATATCTGAGTAGTGGTCCTTATTCAACTTTCTGAGCCTCTGTTTGACTTCTCTTAGCTTGTGGTACAACTGTTGCATTGCAGGGCCCCTGATATTGCTACTCCATCCTTCTTGAACTAAATCAGCATAGAGAGGATGAGTTTTCCAGAAACTAAAGTACTTGAAGGGTTTAGGCAACGTTTTACCCCTAGAATCTGTGCATCTACCATTCCAAAAGCAACAACAATATCAATCAGTCTAAGTTAATGGTTTCCTACAATCAGCTCACTACTCGCATTCTACTTGGCCCAACATTGTCAACTTCTGATGGCATCATGCAATATCTTTTTATATTGTTTGCAATTTTGCTAGTTATTGATGAATAACAATCTAAGTAGGGATGGCAACAAAACCCGAACCCACGGTTACCCATCCAATCCAACCCGGTCAACGCGGGTAAAATCCGAGTTGACGGGTTTTGGACTGGGTTCGGGTTTAAACCCGCTACACTATTTACCGAGTTGGATTTGGGTTTAGGTAAACCCGCCCACACACATATAATTACTTTTCCGGTATATTTAATATTCTAAATAATATATCTTTCTTAAACAACTAATATTCTTTATTATTGTGGAGACATGTATAATTTGTTCTTTCTAATTGTTTAGAATGAAGTTGATATTATGGAGTGGAGAGTGAAGAAACTTTCAATTAATCTTGTGGTTTATAGATGTTTATCCTTAATTTTGAACAATTTGTATTGATCATTTGCGGTTTACTTGTATGCTCTAGATTAGTGTTTTTTGTATGAATAATTTGTATGAGAAAGTTAAAGTTAAACTTTTATTTTGAAAGAAACTTGTTATTGTAAATTTTTTACCACAAAAACCCACGGGTAGCCATGAACCCGCAGATACCCAACGGGTTGGGTTGGTTTGAGTTTTTCAAACCCAGTGAGTTTTACCCCGAGTTTTTTTGGTGGATAAACCCATAGGTTTTGGTTTGACAAAACCCGACCCAACCCGACCCATTGCCATCCCTAAATCTAAGAAACTACTTCTGCACCATTCGCCAGTTTTCTCACCTTTTTGGGAGATATAGTGATTTCTCTCTCTACTATCTGGGAGCTTCTTCCCACATGGAATTTTTTTATTTTTCTCTTTACCACTCAATGGAATCTGAAAGACTGCCGAAGATTTCCGGCCTGAAAGGCAGGGGGTTATACTGGTTCCGGTAGATCCTGGAGGTGTTTTGTGTGCTTTGGTAGTTATTTCGATTCTCTTGTGAAGCGATTGCATCCGTGTGCACAGAGGTGGGAGTCTCTTCCTGCTATAGACTAAAGTGATTTTCTTCTTCCTGCACGGTGGAAGCTTGATATGTAACCTCTTTCTATTAAGAATTAGCATTGTTTCTTCTTTCAGCTCAACATCTCTACATCTGGGTTGTTTGTTCCCCTGGATTGTCTTTCACAACACTACAGTCTACCTCTTTTCGATTCTGTTGTATCTACACCATTATGTAGATCTGTTGGGTCTGTGTCCCATACTAAAACATGAATTATTCATGAGGTATAACTGTAAGGTTCGTTGCGATCCAAAAGCAATGATTAATCTCAACAGCTTGTTAAGGAGCAGCTTGATATTCAGGTGAAAAGGATCTCTGCATCTTATTATCATATTGTTTTCTGGCGAGGAAAATCTAGTGTTTTAATATAATGATTTGCATTTTTTACTTCTTTAACAACGAAAATCAACACGGTTCACTCCTCTCCGAACAATGTTCGAACGAACCATGATGTTTTTTTTATGGTTTTTTGGGAACAAGCTATGTTAATTACTCCTACTCCTATGGAGGTTCAGTGAGAGCTCCGAAAAACTAAAGGGTACGACTAAATTGTAGAGAAAAGATAAATTTTTGACATAGTGTGTCAAATGGTTGGTTGTGGAACCCCTGCTTCTTCTTCGTTTAAACTATTTATAGCCACTAGGTGTAACTGCCCTTGTAACCACCTTGGTAACTGCTAGTTGGCCTCTTGCTCCAAACCACCTCGGGGCCCTTGTCGCCGCCTCGTTAACTAGTTGGTAACCGTCGCCT